AACAAAATGACAGAGTTGAGCAGCTGCGACAGAGACCATCTGATCCTTTACAGGAAAGTCTTAGGGGAAAGATGGGGAAAAAGGCCCAAATAAGACAGGCAGGAATGTTATGAAAGCTCTGCAAAACTAGGAGAATTAGCAACAATTCTCAAGATTGAAAGAAATTTTCAAGGCGCAGAGGGATGGGAACTTTAAATTTGAACAAAGTCGACAATGATGTCATTAATTGGAATAGGAGTTTGCAGCTGGAGTTTGCCAAGGGAAGGGTTTAATTTCTTCAGCACAAAACATTTAAGCAGCAGCAGCAAACAATACACATCTAAGGAAGATAACCCTCATTCCTGTGCCTGCATAGTGTCAGCACAGGGTGAGGATAAACAGAAAGGGAACCAAGGAAACACCACATAAAGGTTAGGTCATAGACTCTACAGCTGGACAGAACTTGAACTGCCAATAACTTGATTTCACAGCAGCTGAAAGAGTAATTCGACTATTCGATTCCACAGGCAAAACTGGAAGGTGAAGTGGAAGAAATGGAAATCTTGGGAGAATACAACCACATGGTCTCAGGAAGGGAATGTCTACAATCATTTAATATTTGAGGTTTATTATGCCAAGGTGGTAGGCAAAGATGAGACACACTTTAGAATTCTGTGCTGTCTGGGGGCACCTGGGTGGCTCAGTCGTTAAGCATCCGCCTTCAGCTCGGGTCATGAACCCAGGGTGCTGGGATCGAGCCCCACATCGGGCTCCCTGCTGGGCAGGAAGCCTGCTTCTCCCTCTCCCACTCCCCCTGCTTGTGTTCCTGCTCTCGCTGTGTCTTTCCCTGTCAAATAAATAAATAAAATCTTAAAAAAAAAAAGAATTCTGTGTTGATACACTCAACTTTCCGTGGGGAGGGAAATGTTCTATATCTGCACTGTCCAATGTGGTAGCCACTGGTGGCTATTGTGTCTGCAGAACTGAATTTTTAACTTTATTTTAGTTAAGTTTAAATAGCCACATCTGCTTAGTGGCTACTGTATTGGACAGTGGCTACTGTATTGGCTCTGCAACAATGATTTGAAACTTTTTAAGTTCTGCAACCTCTTCTACCCTCCCTCCATCCACAAAGCAAGTGTTACTTAGTACTCCCGTCTGTGATGCAAATGAAGCAGCCACCGGTGTTTGTGTGAGCTTGAGCATGTGTGTGTGTCTGCTCAATTTCCCCATCACCTAAAATTGGGGTCCTTCAAGCATCTCCGAAGAAGACTAGGTCTCCAGGTGTGGAGGAGATGGCTACACGGAACTTGGCAATGGATTAAACTGGGGAACTGAGGAAGAGGGAAGAATCAAGCATGCTTCCAAATGCCTGACTGAGGTGATCAAGCAGAATATCAAGATGAGTCTATTCACCAAGAAAGGAAATCAGGGTAAGAAGAGGGATGAAATGAACACGTCAATTTTGAACATGTGCTGGTAGCCAGGATTGCACGCCCCGCCCTGTCCACAGCCTGATCTCAAAAACCTGTGAATGTTAATTTCCTGGCCGAGGGGAATTAAAGCTGCAGATGGAACTGAGGTTTCTCACCAGCTGACCTTACGACGGAGAGGAGCCTGGACTAGCCAGGTGGGCCCAATATAATTACAACGGTCTTTAAAAGTGGAAGAGAGAGGCCCAGAAGAAAGGTCAGAAGGAAGTGCAACGGCAGAAGGGGGTGGGGGCATCACGGAGACGCAGCACCGCCAGTGTTGAAAAGGGAAGAAAGGACCAGAAGCCAAGCAGCCTCTAGAAGCTGGAAAGTACAAAGAAACGGATTCTTCCTGACAACCTCCAGAAGGGAACACAGCCCTGCTGGTACCTGGATTCCAGCCCAGTGAGACCCGTGACGACGTCTATGCCACAGACATGTAAGGTCATACATTTGTGTTGTTTAAGCCCCTCAACTTCGTTATAGCAGCAGACAACACACGTCAGAGCTGAAAAAGCTGCAGGAATGAGAAAAAAGGAAATACTCAAAGTGCTCACAGAAGGTAGGTGCGTTCTGTAGGGAGACTGAGGACAAGAGGAGTTCACTTACCACGGGCCAAGAGTTTCAAAGCACTGTAGAAGGTCGGAAGGAGGGGAAGGGGGACGGGACAGTGGTGCGTCAGGGGGAAGCTACCTGGGGATAATATAAGCGTTTCTCTTTCCCAGTATGCCTCCCTAAGGCTTACCACAGAGCCCAGTACAGAATAAGTGCTCCACGCTTGGGGAATGGAACTGCGAGGAGGGGGACAATAGCTGGGACAGTGTCGGGTGCAGCTGGAACACAGGAATGAGAGGCATGCTGGGATTAACTAGCCTCAGAAGAACCTTCTGAAGGTGCTAGTGCTGAGGCCCTCATGGTCTCTGAGGCCTGACTGATGAAGTCTGTGATCAAACAATTAACAGCACCTTTGTGAGATAGTTGAAGTTTAGGCGCTTATGAAGAAACTCTCCACAAGAGACTGGAGTTGTTGACTGAAGGGAGAGGAGCCAGGACTCTCACCTGGGATGAAAACAGCTGCTGTCCCTGATGGCTAGGTGATTTGAGCTGCTTGAGAGAGAAGGTAAGCGACAACTAAAGAAATCAACGTGGTGATACAGGAGCTCTGGACTACCTTGAACTGAAAGAGGGCATGTACATGATGTAAGAAATAGGGCACTAACTAGTAATGAACACAAAAATGAGACCACATCTCTGTGAGGCTGGCATGAGAAGGGCAAAAGCACAAAAGGAATGGAAATGTGTGAAATTAAGAAAAACAAAAGCCGGGGAGGAATGAAGCAGGGGAAATCGGAGGGGTGGACGAACCATGAGAGAAGATGGACTCTGAAAAACAAACTGAGGGTTCTAGAGGGGATGGGGGTGGGAGGATGGGTTGGCCTGGTGGTGGGTTTTGAGGAGGGCACGTTCTGCATGGAGCACTGGGTGTTGTGCGCGAACAATGAATCGTGGAACACTTCATCTAGAACTAATGATGTAATGTATGGGGATTAACATAAGAATAAAAAAAAACCAAAAGCCTTCTTAGACTACAATCAAGAAAAAGGGGAGAAAGGTCACCTGGTCCATAAGAGGATGCAGATCTGAACTTCAGTTTTCTCAAAGAGCATGATTTTTCTAATAGGAAGTGTGACAAAAAGTTAGGCGGGCTGTGAACCTCAAGACAGCTATATTAAAACAAAAACCAGACACCAATAAATACAGGCCTTCAAGTCTTAGCAAATTTTATATCTTCAATTAACAAATGTGATTGTATACTAATCAGTGACATGGGAAATCTCAGGAACAAAAGAGTCAAACCATCTGAGATAGGTAAGTGTTAATATTTTCAGAAACAAAGGCTTATCTTCTGTAACTGGGTACTTTTGGAATAGATTAAAACACTTGTTTTATTTGTTGAGTGAGGGACCACTCCTACCTGACTCGAATGTCAATGCCCCAAGAACTTAAAAGTTATACAAGTCAGTTGACAGCATGGGGTCTCTAGGGAACCGCTAAGCGTGACCTTAACCTAGTCCAGCTGAACATTTTGAATGCTTAAGAGCGGGACAATTTATCACATTCAAGGATAACCTGCTCAGGCAGCTAATAAACTGGAAGGCAACACTAAGGTTAAGAGAATTGGAGTGAAATGAAGACCATTTAAGAGAATGCAAAAAAAAAAAAATCCTGTACTTAAAAAACAAAACAAAAACCAAGAAAACAACTGTACAATAGGAGAGAAACCTAGGTTAAGAGCAGTTCCATCTACAAGGACCCAAAAGTTTACATTTATTGCAACAAGCTCAATTAGGGGCAGTAGTCTGATATAGTAATCCAAAAAGCTAATGCCAATTTTAGGCTGCATTAAGACAATGTCCTTTTAACTAATTACATCTCGAGGGAACATACTTCTGGGAATCTCAAAAGGATCAATAACTCTGAACTGTGTGTTGTAAGGAATGCTCTGGAAAGAAGAGCTACTGAAGGAACGGAGGATGTTTAAACTGGGGAAGACTTTTCTGGGGGTGTGGAGTGAGCTACAGCAGGATCTTACCTTCAAATATAATGTATGCTGTCTAATGGAAAAGGGATTTGACTAGGGATGGCAAATGGGTTATCGCTGGTGAGCCAGTTCTAAATAGCCGGTAGTGACTGCCAGGACCTGGTGCTGATAAAGGCTGAGACAAGAAAGATCTGTAGCAGGAAAGATGGCTGTGATCGAAGGGCAGTACCTACGTGGGTACCAAGTATTTAACTCTGGGCTAGACACACTTATTCCAAACTGCCCAGAGGACAAGCTTAGGGCTGCTCCTTGGAGGTTACATGGAAACTTACTCGAGACAACGTTACCAAGCACTTTGTTACAAACTATCAGGCTGCCTGTGAGAGGACTAATCCCCTCCCCTCACAGGACAGGGCCCACGAAGAATTTTCCAGCTCCAAATGACAACAGTACGGCCGTTTAAAAAACCCTGAGTTACCTGAATGGCCTAGTGAAAGGCAAAATGAAGCAAAGGCCCTGAGCTGGCCGACGCTTGCAGGCTGAAACGCGATGGGCATTGGCCGAGTGGCCTGGGATGAGATCAGCCGAACGGGGACTGGCCAGGTCCGATCCGGCTGCCCCCGGGCCGGCTGGAGAGACTGGGCTAAAACCCGCGTCAGGCGGGGCCCCCGGGACGTCCCCTGGAGCTCCCGCCCCACTACTCACTCCATCTCCTGCCTGCAGGGAGCTGCCGACAGCGGAAACAGCCAGTCACTTACCTCCGCAGACCCGCGCTTGGCAGCCTCTGTCAGAACTCCCCGAACAATCGTCGCGAGAATCCGCCGTTGAGATCTCGCGAGAGCTGGGAGGAGCGTCCGGCCAGAGGCCTGCGCAGCCAAGCGCATGCGCCGTAGTACTCCCGAGCAGGGCGGTTCGGTTTGGCGGGCGGGGAGGGGCGGGATCAACGCTGAGCCCGGCGAATTCCGGGTCGTACCTCGTTTTCTCCTGTTGCCTCACTACCGGTCCCCGCCCTCCAGCCGCGTGGGAAACTCGCGTGTGGACCACAACCCCGCCTACCCATCAGAACCGCTGAGAAAGGAAGTGCGAGTCTGCTAGAGTTCCTGGTTGAGAGTGAGAGGCCAAGTGTTCGGCTCTCTTGTTCTTCCCGACTGGCCCCCAGGCAGAGACTGGGCTCTGCAGGCCGGGATTCCCCCCTCGTCCTGAGCCTGTAGCTCGGGCTGGGTGTTAACTCGGGCCAAGGCAGGACCGGCTGGGGGAAGTCGGGGGCAGGGGAAGCTGACGGCTGATGGCTCAGGTAGGTACACTGGCCCCTCCTCAGGGACCGGTGGAAACGTAATCTCTTGTTTGTTTTCGTTATAGCTCCTTCAACCCTGCTCAGCCTCTTAGGGTTTCCCTGGAGGCCACTGGTCTGTTCAGAAATTCATGGTCCGTGTGCCCGCCAGGTAACCCGTAACCGTTTTTTCTTCCAGTCCTCTATGCCTCCCAAATCTGACGTGTTGAGTCAAGATGAACTGCGAAAAAAGCTATACCAGACGTTTAAGGATCGGGGTATACTGGACACGCTCAAGGTATCCGTTTTAGCCGTATCTTTTACATAACTTTTACAAGTTAACCTGTAACAGGCAGTCCACATTTAAATACATCCAGGTCCTGACTTTTAAAAATAGTATGACGTAGATTGTATTGCTAAGTTACATTTTTATGTTCCTGTGTAACTCTTTGTAATGGAACACGGAAGTCTTAAATGGTTTGGAGTTTGAGTGGTCTTAAAAGAGCATATTCAAATAATAGGTTTATTGGACTGATACTAAGGTAGTAGTGGGTAGCTTTATAAAGTGAACACATTCTAATAAAATTGGACTTGGTTTATAAAGCTGGCTTGCAAGTCCTGAATTAATAAGTGGTTTTGTAATAGTATGCGCTTTTGAATGAAAGAAATTGACACCATATAGAAAACATTAGGTGTACTAGTTACCATAGAATAATTTCTTCCTTAAAACGTATTGAAATGTATAAATATTTGGGCAGCAAATATTAGTACATATTATATGAAGGAGTAGGATTAGCTCACGTTTTCATTACTGTATACATTTCAAAAGTCTATTTTATATTTAAAATGTTAAAGTAAGGGGGCACCTGGGTGGCTCAGTCCCTTGAGCCTCCAATTCTTGGTTTCAGCTCAGGTCATGATCAGGGTTGTGGACTCAGCCCATGACCAGCTTGGGGTGGGGCCTACTTAAGATTCTGTCTTTCCGGGCGCCTGGGTGGCTCAGTTGATTAAGCGACTGCTTTCGGCTCAGGTCATGATCCTGGAGTCCCTGGATCGAGTCCCGCATCGGGCTCCCTGCTCAGCAGGGAGTATGCTTCTCCCTCTGACCCTCCTCCCTCTCATGCTGTCTCTCATTCTCGCTCTCAAATAAATAAAATCTTTAAAAAAAAAAAAAAAAAAAAATTCTGTCTTTCCTTCCCCCTCTGCCCCCCCCCCCCCCCTAAAAAACATGTTAAGGAAAAGCGAGCTTCTTAAAAAATTTTCCTCCCTCTCCCATTGTTTTGGTAACTTAAACCTTGAGATTAATCTGAAAAATCTAGAAAAACATGGAGAAACATCATCGCTAATACAGCCACTAATTGGCATAAGTGTTTTTTTTTGTTTGTTTGTTTTTTTTAAGTAATCTCCATGCCCAATTCAGGGCTCGAACCCACAACCTGGAGACCCGGAGTCCCACACTCCACCGACTGAGCCAGCCAGACACCCCTCCTTTTTAATCTGATATTATGTGGTGAACATTTTCCTGTGTCCTTTATAGTTCCTTGAAATCCTCATTTTCAATGGCACCAGGCTTGTCTTTGAATGTATGGGTAATTTATGTAGCAGTCCCCTGTTGAAGATTCACATTATACCCAGGTCTACACATTCCTTCAATTGCATCTCTCACTTTTTGCCTGGGATGGGTTAAGTGACATTACTGAATCAAAAGCCTGAGCTTTTTTTCCTTAAAGATTTTATTAGAGCACGAGCACGGGGAGGGGCAGAGGGAGTGGGAGAAGCACTCTCCCCACTGAGCTCGGAGCCCTTTTGGGCTCCATCCCAGGAACCTGAGATCATGACCCAAGCTGAAGTCAGATGCTTAACTGACTGAGCCACCCAAGGCCTGAGCTTTAAGGCTCTCAGTATATGGGTCTTGTTCTAGAAAGATTGTAATAGTGTATATTCCACCAGCAATTTGATAATACTTATCTCTCCAATGATATTATCATGACATTTTTTAAAACATGTGAAACCCTTTACTATTCCTTTTCATTATTAATGGGGTTGCACATATTTTCTGGCCATTTGTATGTTTTCTGTGGATTGGCAGTTTATGTTCCTTGCCCATTTCCCCCTCCCACCCAGCGGTGTTTTATTAATGTATAAGATTTCTTTTAATAGAAACTTCATTTCTTTTCCAATTTTGCAGCCATACTTTATCTTGGTGTTCAATTTTAATTTGGTTCTAAAAATATTACTGTACATTTTTAATATGGTCAAATCTATTGGTTTTTTTTGCTAATTATTCTCAGTTCTCTAAGAGAACAAATATTCACTATGTTTTAAAAAGGCCTTATTTTTTTTACAGTTAACTCTTTAACCCACTTGGAATTAATTGTAGTGTATAATGCATTAATATGCTTTCTAATGTGGAATGGTCCTTGGATTCCTGGCCATGGCATATTTTCTTTTTACTGTCTTCTGAATTAGATTTGAGAGTGTTTCATTTGTAGTCACAAATAATACTGATGTATCCTTATCCTTCTTAATCTGTCCTTGTTTGGGTTTGGTATCAGGATTGTGGTAGCTTTGTTCACTTTACAAATGTGTATCTTCTAGAGAAATATTGTTTCCTTTGTGCCGCTGGCTCTTCAATTCTGTTATTCCAGCCTTACCAGTGGCAAGACAGATTTTTACTTACTAAGTTGGAGCTAATTTTTGTTTTCTCAGTTCAGTGACGATGGCCTGAGTGAGTTTTAATTTTTAAAATTCATTGAATTTTTTAATGGCCTAATTAACATTCTATTTGGGTGTTTGAAAAGAATTTCTGGTGAAGTACAAAGTCCGGTATCTATTAAATGGAGTTTATCAAGTCTTTTTCCTTATTTTGAGTCTACTCTTAATATCTGAGAGAGTTGTGCTGAGGATGCACAAGTCTCTTCTCTCCCAGTTCCCCTCCCCACCCACAATAATTGTACTTATTTCTGTTTTAGGAACATTAATTCTGAATGGATTTCCCTCTTTTTTACATTGACTGCTGCAGAGCCCCCAGCCAGTTGTGGGATTCCTTCCAGCAAGTGCTGGATGGCTTGCTTTTTGTGTTTGTTGAGCTGGGGATTCATCTGTAAGGTCCTTTGCTTTTTTTTTTTTTCTACCTTTATTTTCCTTCCTGCTTCTGTCACTCCTCTAAATCTTATCCTGTTTCAGTATTTGTTTGCAAGACACCCTAAGGCATTTTATTAAGCTGGATTTAAATATATTCTTTAGTAGTTACAAATTAATTAAATCACTAAATTTTACTGGTGGAGAATGCTATAATTTCTCTTGTTTTGTTACTGAACTGTACTAGATGAGGCAGGACATGCGTATTCTGTTCAGTGTAAATGTTTTTTTGTTTTTTTTTTTAAACTGTGGGACTTTAGACGTAAACTAAGGCCTGTTCTATACTGGTAATTATATACTGTTCTACTCTTGAGGTAAAGGATAGAAGAAAGAAGTATAACAAGAACTCCATTTGTTTCTTGCTTGTATTCTATTAATATGAATTCATTAGGTATCATTTACTGCTGAACCCCATGAATCTAGGCAGTGCAATCTTAAGCTCAGCCCAGTTGTATATTTCCAGGTGATATGCAAAATAGACTAGAACAAATACCCAATAGTCTGAGTAATTTAGGGAATTTTGTTAAAACCCAGATGAATAATGCTAGTGTTATAACCTTGAGAAAATGACCCACTTTGAACTGTAATTTCTCACTTATAAAATGTGAGAAAATTATTATACTTCAGTGTCTTGAGATGTAAATACTGTATGCAAAAGTACATCTTAATATGTTTTTGGGTTTACCGATTTCTCTCTTGTATATGTGATTTCCCTTTTGGGAACCCAATTTTGTTTTGATCAATATGCCCAATATTTTCATATCCTTCAATAGTCCACAGAGAGGTGAGCAGGGGGCAGAATTGTCTCCTGCACTTGATACCCTGGTGAAAAGCTGCTGAAATGGGCTCCTGGGGAAGTGAAGTTAAAGTATACATGCGTTCTAGCTAACCACAAGTTAACTTGGAAGCTGGTGAAAACAAGTTTCTTTTTCCAAAACTCAGTGGGTCACTTGTGTCACAGGGTTATTTAGGGAATGGTTCCTAAGTTTTGGTCATGGATTCAGAACCATTCTGGAAATAAGGATGCTAATTCATGTGACAAATCTGTATATCTCCAGTGAAACAATCCTGCCGAAAATTTTTTCCTTCTTGGTTCATTTTTGTTTGTGTTTTTGAGCTAGACACAGCTCCGGAATCAGCTGATTCACGAATTGATGCACCCTGTGTTGAGTGGAGAACTGCAGCCCCGGTCCATTTCAGTGGAAGGGAGTGCCCTCTTAATAGGCGCTTCTAACTCTCTAGTGGCAGATTACTTACAAAGATGTGGCTACGAGTATTCACTCTCTGTTTTCTTTCCGGAAAGTGGTTTGGCCAAAGAAAAGGTAAAGTCTTTGCTTTTTCTCTTTTTGAATTTTCTATTAACAGCTTCTTTCTGAGATAACAGTAAGTGCTGCATAATAGTGGAGTATTCCTTGGCTAGCAAGGTCCGTTTCTCATTGATCTTTGAATTCACATCATATATTCTATCACGTAACAAAGGGGCAGTACTGGAGTTGATTGTTTATTGTTATCAATTCCTTGGACTCTCGATTAGTCTTTGGTAAAATTGTGATGTGTAGAATCACTGTTTTGGAGCTAGAATTATCCTCCCATTCTGTGTAGTCTACTGAGACTCACAGTTGCCTTTTATGTTGAATGTCTGTTGTAAGATTGTCACTATACTAGTCACACTGCAGATGATGAGGAACCAGTCTCTGGAGAGGTGAAGTACTTTGCTCAAGGTCACATGATTTGTAAATATCAGTGCAGGGCAGTAAATCTAGATCTCTAAAATATGTTCTTCTTACTATGTTAAAGTCTCTTCAGATATTTCTATTCTTTAGGATTACACAAGAGAAGTGAGGGATAAAATAGTTTTTAAAAGTCTATGACATTCTCAAATACTAAAACACCTGTTTTTACCAATTTTCTGATTAGTTTATGTTTACCAGTAATGTTGGAGAAATCTAGTCACACTTGATTATTCTAAAGACTGATACAGCCCACTTTGCCTATTTTTTTAATAGACTTAATTTTTTAGAGCAGTTGAGGTTCAGATCAAAATTGAGCAGAAAGGAGGATATCCCATATGCTCCCTGCTCCCACACATGCACAGCCTCCCCTACTAGCAAAATTTTTTGTTACGTACTTGATTTTTTTTTTTTTTTTTTGAAAGAGGGAGGCGGGGAGGGGCAGAAAGAGGAAAAGAGAGAATCTTAAGCAGGCTCCATGCCCATTGTGGAGCCCACAGCAGGACTCGATCTCACAACCCTGGGATCATGACCCGAGCCAAAATCAAGAGTCAGACGCTTAACTGACTGAGCCACCCAGGTGCCCTCATTATATACATTTTTGCCATAGATTCTACATGGTCACATCTTACCACCTAAAGTCCATGGTTTATTTTTATTTTTTAAAAGATTTATTTGAGAGCAAGAGAGAGCAGGGGGAGGGGCAGGTGGAGAAGCAGACTCCCTGCTCAGCAGAGAGCCCGAAATGGGGCTCGATCCCAGGCCCCCAGGACCATGACCTGGGCTCAAGGCAGATGCTTAACCACCTGAGCCACCCAGGTGCCCCTAAAGTCCATAGTTTAACTCTTGGTGTTGTCTCTCTCTTTTTATTCTTTATCTTGTCTGTAATTGACTAAAAGTTTCATATTCAGATGTTTTAAGAAAATAACAATGTTAATATTTGAAAATTCAAATATGTTGTATTTATTTATTAACAACCAAATTTTATTTATTAACATTAGGAGTTCTTGTTTGGTCCATCACTCTTTAAGTTTTGTTGTTGTTTGTTTGTTTAAAGTAAGCTCTAAGCCCAACGTGGGGCTTGATCTCATGACCTCAAGATCAAGAGTCACATGAGCCAGCTGAGCCAGCCAGGTACCCTGAAGTTTCCCATTATGTTTCACAATTTAGCTTATTGGATGAGTAATAGTCAATAACATAGTTGTTAAAGCAGTAGTTAATACAGTTCACGTACTTAAAGGTTTCTACTCTAAAATGCTGTACAGAATATTTTCTATAAAAGAAAACCACTTGAAAACCTATTCATGTTCTCAGGGTAGATCTAGTAAATGATAAGTATTGTAGTAGAAATAAGAATAGCCACCCAAGGGGTGCCTGGGTGGCTCAGTTGGTTAGGCATCTGCCTTCGGCTCAGGGTCATGATCCCAGGGTCCTGGGATCGAGTCCTGCATTGGGCTCCCTGCTCAGTGGGAGTCTGCTTATCCCTCTGCCCCTTACCCTGCTTGCTCTCTCTCTCTCTCTCTCAAATAAATAAATAAAATCTTAAACATTTTGGGTGGCTTTTTTTTTTTTTTAAGACTATTTTAGGTATGATTTAGTTATTCATTGTAGTAAAGACAGTAAGCCTTTATTTATATTTTGAAGCAATAGTATTTTAAAAACTTTATGGCAGTTGAAAGACTCTGGAATTCACACATGTCTTCACCGGTTCATCAGCTATTTGAGTGTGTGTAATCCATAAGGCATTAACCATTTAGACCTATTAGACCAATTACCTTCATTGTGAAATATTTGGAGGTTAATTATGTGATCAAGAAAAATACTTTATCCTTGTGACTTTAATATGTTTGTTATCAATAGTATAAGAAAGTGCTTCAATTTTATATTAGCATGGTTATAATATTGTAATTTAATCTGAAGAATGACTCTTAGTCTTCAGAAATGTCCTAGTTTATCATTTAAACATTGATGTAAAGAATATGTCTAACTTTTCTTTTCCTTAAGGTATTTACTATGCAAGATCTATTACAACTCATTAAAATCAACCCTGAATCCAGTCTCTACAAATCACTGGTAGGATTGTTTAGTTTTTATAACCTGCTTTGGTCTGTTAATTGTAACTGAACAGTTGAGTAAAGATAAATATTTTCTTTTAACAGATTTCAGGATTTGATAAAGAAAACAAAGGTAGGAGCCTTCATCTTTGTAGAAAATAGCAAAATTTTTGTCATTTACTTTTTCCTGTAAAACTATGAAAGTAATAATATTGAGGGGTATGAGTAGGGAATTTAATATGAATTTGAGTTTCCATGCTGTGATAGTACCTTACCTTTTTATCTAATTTTTAAAAAAGCTTTTATTTAAGTAATCTCTACACCCAACGTGGAGCTTGAAGTCACGATCCTAAGATCTAGGAGTCATGCTCCACTGACTGAGCCAGCCAGGCGCCCCAATACCTTACCTTTAAGTAAACAGAATAATTCATCCATTTTGACAAATGTAGATCACTTCCCCAAATTTCACTCTTCTTACTTGCTCTTAGATACTCCAAAAACTATAGACAGAAGTTGATAGAACCCTAGAAATGATGTAAAAGCTACGTTTTGTTCCCACTGTTGGGAACATTTCTGCACACACAAACTAACAATTTTAAGGCTAGGTTTCTCTGTAGCCTAGCTCTCCCCCTCAAGTACAGTTTATAGATCATTAATATTTGCTTGAAAAAATGAAGTATCTGGTCAGTAATAAGTGCTGCATATATATTTTTTTTTATTAAGTGTTTATGTGAGCCTGATAAATTGCTTTCATCTTGGCTTTGATAATAACCTTCATAGAGTCCATAACATGCCAGACCATGGGCTAGACTTGACGGTGGACTTTGTAGCATGAACTTAAGCTGGTAACTTGCCTGTAATGCATGTTCTTTAGGTCTGTTTTAAATACTCTGTAACATTATGTAGTGGCCCTCTTGTGTTGGTGTGCGCCTGGATTTTGTTTGTTGTCAGTATTGCTGCCATCCCCAGTAGGGCATTCATGTAGAACTGAGCATTCAGCAAACATTTGAGTACTTAGTTTCTGCCAACCATTAGTCTGTGACTCAACTGCCTGGTTTCTTGGGAGTAATGTTAGCAGAGGATGAGTAAATCAGATCACAAGACGTTCTGGAGTGCCTGTAAAGTAGGTCATCCACACTGAACTTCAGTATGGTAAGTGATCCTATATTCGGTATTCCAAGACGGTACTGTCTAATGTAAATTTCCCGTAATGGTGGGGATGTCTGTGTCTGTGCTGTCGGATATGGTATCCACTAGCCATGTGTGAAATGTGGCTAGTGTAGCTGAGCTGACTCTTCAATTTAAATAGCCATACGTGAATGGTGGTTATGACATTGGACAGGGCACAGATCTAAGGTATATAGTAGGAATCATTCTTTCAGAAGGAAACTTGGGGCCTAAAGGGATATTAAGAAATAATCCACTTATTAGAGGTATTTCATGTTATCTTTAAAAATAGTTTTTCACCTTTACACGCTCTGTTTAAATGCTTCTGGTTCAGAAAGACGTGGTTAACAGCTCTTACCAGCTTCACCCAGCATCCTAGTATAAGTTCTGAAATTCAGAAAAGCTATGCATAGCAGATATGTCAGGAATCCTCATGGCAAAATTTGGGTAGAACCCTTGGCTGACACTAAAACAGCTATTGTTAAAATGAAATAATTTAAGAAATTCGTGTCTTCCAATTAAGAACATCAGAAAACATGTAGGAAGATATTTTGTGCCCGTTTATGCCCTAACAGAGACCTATAGTTTTATGTTACTCTGTCTGTATTTGAGGGTTCTGGGTTGTCGAATGGCCATAGTACTTTTCCCCTAGATTACACTTACCCATCCTTTCCACTCCTAACTTTTCAGAGATAATAATGCCGAGAAAAAAGCTGTGCAGAGAATTTGGATGAGGGCAGAAAATTTGGACATTGGCTCTTTGTTTTCTGGAACTTAAGATCCTTACCTGTGATGGGTAAAAGTATAGCTACATATATCAGTGGGACAGAACAGCAAGCCCAGAAATCAGTCTACACAAATACAGTTGACCCTTGGACACCACGGGGGTTAGGGTCTCTGACCCTCCCCACCAGGGCCGCTGCACAGTCCCAGTCCACATAGAATTGTTGACTGCCCCAAAACTAACAGCCTGCTGCTGACTGGAAGCCTTACTGATAACATAAACTGTCAACACATATTTTGTGTGTTAAATGTATTATATACCGTACTCAAAGTAAGCTAGAGAAGAGCATGTCGTTAAGAATCAAAACAAAGAGAAAATACGTTACCAGTACTGCCCTATATTGATTGAAAAAAATCCCCATATAAAGGCCCCGTTGTTCAAGGGTCAACTGTGTAGTCAACTGATTTTTGATAAAGGGTGGAGGTAGTTCAAGGGAGGAAGGATGGTCTTTTCCACACATGGTACTGGAACAATTGGACACTCATACACAAAAATGAACCTAGACACAGACCTTATACCTTACATAAGAATTAAAATACACTGTAGATCTCATTTTAAATATGAAACTATAAAACTTATGTAAGAAAACATTAAAACATGTATGTGACCTTTGGTTTGGTGAGGAGCTAAAACACTAAAAGCATATATATAAAAGAAAAAAATTGACCAGTTAGACTTCATTAAAATCAAAAGCATCTGCTCTGAAAGACACTGAGAATGAGAAGACAAGCCCTAGACTGGGAGAAAATATTTGCAAAGAACACATCTCCTAAAAGACTTGTATCAAAAATACACAAAGAACTCTTAAGGAGACAACCCAGTTAAAAAATGGGTAAAGGATCTGAACAGACATGTCACCAAAGAAGATATAGAGATGGCAAAAAAGCCACAAAAAGATGTTCAGTGGCAGTTGTTATTAGGGCAAGGCAAATAAAACAACAAAGAGATCTCCCCATACCCCTGTTAAAATGGTAGAAATCCAGACTACTTACAACGCCAAATGTTGGTGAGGATGTGGAGCAACAGGAACTCCCATTCATTGATCGTGTGAGTACAAAATGGTATAGCCACTTGGGGAGATTGGTAGTTTCTCACAAAGCTAAACATGGTCTTACCATACCGTCTGACAGTGATGCTCCCTATTTACCCAACTGATTAGAAAACTTAGGTCCACATATAGCAACTTTATCATAATTGCCAGAAATTGGGAGCAGCCAAAATGTCCTTCAGTCGGTGAATGGATAAACAAGCTGTGATACATCCAGACAATGAAATACTATTAGGCTAAAAGGAATGAATTGTGAATCCATGCAAAAATAAAATCTGGGGCGCCTGGGTGGTGCGGTTGGTTAAGCGTCCGACTCTTGGTTTTGGCTCAGGTCATGATGTCAGGGTTGTGGGATCGAGCCCTGCATCAGGCTCCCTGCTCAGCAGGGAGTCTGCTTCTCCCTCTCCCTCTCCCTCTGCTCCTCTCCTCTGCTTGTGCTCTCTCTCTGTCAAATAAAGTCTTAAAAAAAAAAAAAAGGCAAAACTATAGAGCTGGTAAGTGGATTGGTGGTTGCCAGGGATTTGGAGGGAAGGGGTGTGGGAGGTTGAATAGGTGAAGCATAGGGAATTCTTTAGGGTCATGAAGGTATTTTGTAGGATACCGTAATGGTAGGATATATAGCACTAGATACTGGTCAAAGCCTGTAGAACTTTATAGTACAAAGGGTGAACCTTAATGTAAGCAAATTTAGGAGGTCAGGTGATCCCAGGATGGACTGCAGTATGTGACAAAACCATCTAATAACCTCACTGGAGGGGATGGGGAAAAAAAGATACTGAGCTTGACCAACTTTGGAAATGAATACTGTGAGGCTAAAAGCAAATGAAACTGTATATAGGCACCATATTCGGGGTGACAGTTACTTCTCATGGAGGTACTGGTTAACAGATAGTTACTTCTCATAGAGGTGCTAGTTAACAGTTTGGAAACCATTGTACATGTATGATGAAACTGAACAATTAATGAATAGTAGAGGGTGAGAGCTGGGTTTCTCACTGTTAGGGTGCAATTTCACAGATCAGTAAGATGACGAGGCTAGAATGATCCATGTGGTAATGGATTTGTTGGAGCCCTCAGTATAAGCTCAAGTTTAGCTTAATATAGATGCAGAGGATATATAGAAGTATTTATAGATATGTATCTACACAGGTTAGTGGAACATTCAAATTTCCTTGTTCTGCAGGCTGAGAGGGCCTAGAAGCAATGACACCCTAATAGCCATGAGCACACCTAGTGCCCACTTTGGAACACTTAAGGTTTGGTTTCCAATACCATTCCATAATAATAGGAACCAAGGCTGCCTGGAGCAATGGCTGATTCCAGGGCTGGGGCAGAGAATGTACCAGATGAGCCTGGAGTCTTTTACAGTGCCAGATGAAAGGAAATGCTTAATTTAAAAAAATCCACTGTGAAGGAGCTTCCAAAGGCCAAAGCTAGAACACATGGAGCAACAAAATAAAATATTGGATTATATAAAATATTACATAATCACATAGGAATTGAAATAGAATGTATAAAATACCCAGGAGTCCATACCAGTGTAAATAAATGCTTGAATAAATGAGACTAGAGAATTCCTTCTTAGAGGGGGTATATATATGGGGAGGGGAGAGGGGAGAAGTGAACTAACTAGGGGCCTGTGAATAGTACTACAGAACTGGGAAAAGGTGACCATTCTTCACCTAGAATGAGTGAGGGGAAGAGCACATCTCGAAAGATTATCTACTGCAGCATCTCGAAGAAAATTTCTGCAATAGGTCTACTTTTTCTATAAAGGCAGAGCAGACACGCCAGAGCATAACAGTAGCAGGAAGTTGTGAGGAGAGAACAGGAGGACTGGGGGGAAAAAGGTCAGGAGAAGATCAGTGGATGAGCCAAAGAGGAACTGCAAGCAATGGGTATGAAAGAACAGAGTGTAGGTCACGTTAGAGGAAGTGAGAAACAGTAGATTTTAAAATCTTCAGAAAAGGGAAAAAACAAACAGGCCTTTAACTTGGCTGATGCAGAAGCCAAATCCTTCCAACTGTTTTTTTTTTTAAGATTTTTATTTCACAGAGCGACACCGCGAGAGAGGGAACACAAGCAGGGGGAGTGGGGGAGGGAGAAGCAGGCTCCCACCTGAGCAGGGAGCCTG